TACGTTTTTGTTTAAATGAGACCATCTACTGTTAACCGTTTCACCAAGGCAAAGTTGGCGAAGATTTGAACAAATCTCACCCAGGCATCGTTAAACTGTCACATATTGTTTAAGCAATGCCATAAAACGTTTCATTGACACATCTAACTATTAAAAATCCTAAATAATTCTACGATTTAAAAAAAAAATCACTAAAGTATTTGGGTGATTGACTTAGAATTGGCCGGTGAGAATGATAATTGTTCATGGTTCTTTCAGTTTCCTAGTATTATTGCAGACGCTAATTTTAAGCAATTATTTGGTCATTTCCTAATTAGAGTTTATCCGTTTTGATCATGTTATGTACTTTTAAATCGTCACTATTGAAATCATAAAACAACCTTCTTTAAACAGTGTTTTATTTGGGCTGTTGCATTTTTATTCCTGAACTGAACTCTTGTTGGATATAAAAAAAAATTCGTTGATTAAGATCTTGCTGGGGAAAAACACATGCATTTTGTCAAATTGTTCCTCTTGCACTCATCAGGACATTTTTCAAGGTACAAATTCAAAAGGAAAGCCAGCAATTATATGACATGAGATTGAAATCCTGTCTGAGCAGTGTCCAGGTGAGGCAGCATTCTGAAATAAACAATTCAGTTGGAGACAGGGAACCGTGCCCGTTTAACAATTCTTTTCTGTCTTGTCTCTATCTCTCAAAACAACCCCCCAACTATCCTTTCAGTCCTGAGATCTGCTGGATCCAGCAAAAGGAATCAAGGCTGACCTTGGCAGCTTGATTACCAAGGTCAGAGCAGACAAGTCTGCCTCAGGTGTCAGCACATGCTAGGTCAGCTCAGCTCCTCTCCACCTGATGAGATCTGATCCAATAATAGTCACTGTGTTAGCCTTTAATGAGGCGTCCTGTGAGAGCTTATCAGCCTCCACCTGCTCTCTGTAGTAATACCAACGGTTCCAGGGAATGTCAAAAAAGCACAACCGTCCTTTCCCCTCCTCAATCTCTTGTACAGGAAGATTGTGTTTCAAACTAACAATTGCCACTTATGTTCAGGCCCTCTTTGATCCAGGTATGTCCTGGAACAGCACCTGACAGTAAGTTCTGATGCGAGAGAAAATGTAAAGACAGAAATAGGACTCTCCATATCTGTCTTGAATATGAAGGATGAGATTATGGGGTGAACTTCAGTAAGAACAATTCAGTTTAGTGTCTCACAATGACAGTGCCTTTCAGGAACTGCAGATTTATCTGATAATGTAATATATCTGTTTCCATGATTATCATAAACACATAAATTATCATCTCAAATGATTTTGCGAAGGTCCTTTATGTTGCAATAAATGGTATGTGACAGTTCAGTCCTCTGGGCAAAGTACATAAAAGCAATTGAATACCAAAAAGATTGGACATGCTAAATAAAAGCTGTGCATTTAATATTTCATCTTGTAATTTTAAACAAAAGGATAGAAGCAAACAGATAGACCCAGTCAGGAAGCTAAAACTGCCGTAAATGTTATTTTCTAATGTATGAAATATTGCTCTTGATTTTTGCTTTTACAAGCAACCCACAAATATTGTAACAACTTGTCAAGCTTTGCCAACAGACAGTCACTATTCATATTTTGTCTTTCAGTTCTGGGAGCTAACCTTGTCTGAGTGTTAATGAATAATAGCAAAATGTTGGCCGAGGAAGAGAATTGTTTCACTTTTTTTGACCAAATCAGTTCACTCAGGCTACACTATAGTTGTATTTTACCTTCTTCGGCTCAGAGGGCACTTCAGGTTTTTATCAGGTAAATGCAAATATGGTGAAGGGTGAGAAAGATAATACATGCCACCATCAATAACTTTTTAAATGCAAATACTGAATGATTAAGCTGGACACTTTATGCGAGAAGCAAAGATTAGGCAAGAGGAATGTGGTAACAGATAGTGCTGGGTAGGAGAGAATGTACACAAAAAGGTTTCTGCTGGATCTTGATCTGAATGTTCTGTCTACACTGTACTTAAATAAACAAACGTCATGAAAGCATAGGAGCTCCATTTATCAACCTGGTTGTCTACCAAAGGGGCACAAGCTTATATATATATACATACATAAAATAAAATACAAATCAATGTCACCGGATTTCATCTCTTTCTAATTTATTTAATATTTTCTTTTGTTGTTTGTGTAGATTTGCAGGTAGCAACCTCCTGAATATTTCAATAATACAGAATAATGGCTGAAATAAATGACAATCATTGGGAGCATTACTATAGATTCAGATTACTCATTAAACTTTCTGAGATGTGGCAAAAAACGACAAGTTTTGTTTCAAATGCAAAGAAGTGCAGATCCTGGAAATCTGAAATAAAAACAGAAATTGCTAGAGAAACTCAGCAAGCACCTGTGGAGAGAAAGCCGATTTAACATTTCGAGTCCAGTCACCCTTCTTCAGAATGGTTCTGCAGGGTCACTGCTGAAGAAGTGTTACTGAATTTGAAACATTAACTCTTATTTTTAAATCTCCCACACAATGTTTCATTTGTTAGTTCAGATATGATGAAGGGGTCATTTTTATCTGGATCAAATTTTTTTTTTCATTTGTTGTAACTTTTTTCCCAATAAATTAATAAGTCTTGCCTAGTTTGACTGTGACTTTTTCTAACATTCTTTGCTGTCCTTCCTTGTCTCCCTCCCACCCCTCCCTAAGCTCTGTACAATGCATGTAGTAATATCATTAACAGCGGTTTCAACTACCGTGGGGTTGGACAACATAGAATCCTTTTATTCCCCATACCCAGGTAAATGCATAGCATTTTTCAACTGATGAGGAAACTACATTATCAGTGGAAAAAAATGCTAGTAATGGCCAGATATTCAGAGAGATAACGAAAGTCACAACAGATGAGTTACAACACTGTCTTTGTTGCCAGAGAAATATTTGCTTGGTGTTCAATGAAACTAGTGAAATTTGCAGATCTCTTGGAGATAGTGCTGTAAAATTCCTTTATATGGCTATCAGATGTGGAGGATATATACCAGAGAACAGTGGGATACACAGCCTGCTGCATACATGAAGAGTCTATAAAGTTAAGGACCCAGACATGAGTGAGATAAACTGAGCTTCCTGCAGTCCTCCTGTTTCTTTTTTGTATTTGCATGGAGAGACAAACTTATGGACACAGTTCACATTAATACCAATATCTTCAATGCATGTGAAATAATTTATGTGTTTTATGATATCAGATTGTTTTGTTCTTTTTCTCAGTGGGATGTGGGTGTTGTTCATAAGGCCAGCATTTGATGCCCATCCTTAATTGCCTTTGCACTGAGTGGCTACACAATTTAAGAGGGCGGTTAAGAGTCAGTTACATTGTGGGTCTGGGGTCACATGTCGGTCAGACTGGGTAAGGACAGCAGATTTTCTTTCCTAAAGGACATTAGTGAATGAGATGAACTGAAAACAAAAAAATGCTGGAAATCACAGCAGGCCAGGCAACATCCATGGAGAGAGAGCAAGCTAATGTTTCGAGTCTAGATGACCCTGAGATTTTACAACAATCAATTGATAGTTCCATAGCCACAATTACTGGCACAAGCTGTATATTCCTGCAGCTGCTGTGGTCGGATTTGAAATCATGTCTGGATTCCTAGTTCAATGACATTACCACTACAACACCGTCTCTGCATGTATGCCAACATCATCAAAAACAATGCTTGCAACACTGCACAGATTTTTGTTGTTGCTCTGTTGTGGTTTCTATGCACATTGCTAATGAGTACTGACTAAACCGTAAACTCCTTAATTTAGACAAATCACACTGCAATGCCATTGTGACTGCTGATATAACACAGAGCAATATAATTGTTTGTCTGTGCTGTGGAGTGTACTCTGTGAATGCTGGATTTTGCCAGGCATTAAATCTAATAGAGTTATAATGGTGACAATTTGTAATACAGTGATCTGAAAACAACAACTTGCATTTATGTAGCACTTTCCAAACAGTAAAACATTTTGCAGGAGCAGTTGTCAGGCAAAAGGTGACACTGAGCCATGTAGGGAGATATTAGGATAGGTGGCCAGAAGAGACAAAGGGGTGCAGTGAGCGAATAGTGAAGCTGAAGACGTGACAGCTGATGATGAAATTCAGGAACGTGCAACAGGTCAGAATTTGAGGAACGTCCATAATGCAGAAGATTATGGGGCTCAAGGAGATTGCAGGGATAGGGATGGCTGAGTGGCCTACTCTTGTTTGTACGGGCGAAGTTGCAAAGGGTTTTGTAAATAAGGATGAGAATTTTTAAACCAAGGTGTTATCAGAACCGGCATAGGTTAATGAATACAACAAAAGGGTAAGTGGAACTTGGTGCGAGTTAAGATACAGTTTGGATGATCTTAATTTTATTGATGCTGAAAGATGGGAGACCATCAAATAGTAAATGTCCCGAGGATTTCGGCAGCAGATGAGCTTAAACAAAGGGGTGTGAGTTGATGTTATGGAGCTGGAAATAAATGTATTTATAGAGTGTTAGAGTTGTACGGCATTGAAACAGACCCTTCGGTCCAACTCATCCATGCTGACCAGATATCCTAAATTAATCTAGTCCCATTTGCCAGCATTTGGCCCATATCCTTCTAAACCCTTCCTATTCATGTAGCCAACCAGATGCCTTTTAAATGTTGTAATTGTACCATCCTCCCCCACCTCCCCTGGCAGCTCATTCCATACACGCACCACCCTCTGCATGAAAAAGTTGCCCCTTAGGTCCCCTTGAAATCTTTCCCCTCTTACCTTAAACCAATGCCCTTTAGTTTTGGACTCCCCTATCATGGGGAGAAGACCTTGGCTATTCGTCCTATCCATGCCCCTCATGATTTAATAAACCTCCAAAAGGTCACCCCTCAGTCTACAACATTCCAGGGAAAATGGCCCCATCCTTTCAGCTTAAACCCTCCAACCCCGGCAACATCCTTGTAAATATTTTCTGAATCCTTTCAAGTTTCACAACATCTTTCCTTTAGCAGGGAGACCAGAATTGAATGCAGTATTCCAAAAGTGGCCTAATCAATGTCCTGTACAGTCTCGATATGACCTCCCAACTCCACGTACAAAACTGTCTACCCGAGACTCCACTTTTAAGGAACTATGATCCTGCATCCCAAGGTGTCATTGTATGGCAACACTCCCCAGGACCCTACCATTAAGTATATAAGTCTGCCCTGATTTTCTTTGTCTTTAATGTTGGAGAAGTGGTCAGGTTGGAAACAGGGATTGTGATGAATAAAACAACGAGCTTATAAAGGATCTGGGTCAGCATCACACAGTGCTCAAGGTGAAAGACAGAATTTGTGGTTTGAAAACAGAGATTGTCAGAAGAAGTGGTGATAATGGCTTAGTTTCTCCTCAAATTCCAATTTCCCAAAGCTTAATGGGTGAAAATGTCTTCTCATACAGTACTGTTTGGAGCACAGCAGTGTGACAAATCAGACACAGTGCAAGGAAGAACATACCAAGAAAGTGTTGTGTTAGGTTTCTTCAGTGATCTATTTCCTTATGTAAGTAGCTCAGCACTTAGATTTGTGATTGGTCAGAGAGTTGGTTTGTCAGACTGATTCCTGGATACCAAGGGCAAGGAGAGAGTACACAATTAGGATTGTATTTCCTGCAATTTAGAAGGTTCAGCAGCAGTTTATTCAAAGTTTTAACATATGAGGGGGAACAGGCATGGTAGGTGGAGAAACTATTTCCTTTGGTTTGGGAAATTCAGGATTAGGACCATGGACTCAAAAATCCGATAGAAGCCTTTCAGAAGGCGAAACCAGGAAGCACATCCACACACAATGGGTGGGAGAACTTTAAAACTTTCTACCACAAATGTTAATTGTTAGTTTTTAAAATTGTTAACAAAAGATATTGGGCAAACTGGAGGGGACAGAGAATGATCCATATGTCCAATCACAGTCAGCCATGATGAGTTTGAATGGGAGAACAGCTTCAAGGGCTGAATTGCTATTGACGCCAGACAGGAATGTGTATTTAAGGTCACATTCAGATCAGCAATGATATTATTGAATAGCAGAACAGGATCAATGGATTGAATGGCCTACTCATGCATGATATAAACTGGGCCTCTTAATATAATTAACACTTTCCTACAAGTCCATTACTGACAAGATGTCTGTTAAAAAGATCATATTTGTTGCCATTACCTTACAGTAGGCTTATGGTCTGGTTTCACAAGATTCTTTGTGACATTGCTTGGCACTGTATTGCTAAGATACGCTATATAACTCAACAATTCATCACTTTAAAGGAGGGATCTGCTATTAAATAAAATGAAAACCCAGGACATCAGAAAACTTGGCACAAGACATTTGTGAAAATAGCGCTGCTTAGGCTGTTAGTGACTTCAAGGGTATGTGCAACTCTTTCAGGCCATTGATACAAAAGAAAAATGCCCAGATATGAACAATATCCAGTAATTGTCTAGTTAGGTCATTTTATTATAGGTCTCAGATATGAAATTATTGATTTCAGCCTGTGCCCTACTGAAGAAAGTACTGCGAATATTTATTCTTTGATTTATCTGAGGGCTGAAGGAGGATATTTGGAAAACATTTTATTAAAATTCTAATTCTGGTATTGAATTGTCTCTGGAAGACCTGGATAGATGTCATGTTTAATAGAAATGTAGCCTGGCTCTCCAAATTAGACACGAGAGTTTTCCGAATGTAAAATGAAATGGAAACAGCTGCTGAAAGAAACATATTAGAACAGCAATGAAGAATGACTCAGATAACTGACTTATATTTTTAGCAAAACTGCTGAAGCTTCCAGATTAAATTGAAGAGCAAATATTGAAGGGGCCAGAATATACAAAGGTTATGACAACGCCTCGCAGATGTAGCAGCAGAAGTCAGAGATGAAAGGATGGCAAGCTTTTGAATTTGATGTCCTTTCACTTGGTCCTGCACAGGGAAGTGCAGAGATCATTCTCCCATCTACCTTTACCTCTCATCATAGGGAGATCTGGTATCAGCTGAGTTCAGATATACCTGGCATACAAAAACTGAGAGTGAAACATAAACAAGGCACTCAGAGTCTTGTTGAAGGACTCTGTTATGTTAGATATTTAAAGCTCCTTCTATAATGATTTAAGTGTCATGCTAATATTGCTGGTTAGTGCAGCTGGTAGAAAGATTACTAGATTCGCTAGGGCTGACAACTGGGAAGACTCGCTCCAGCTTTAGCCTGGGGATTGCTCAATACAAAGGTAGTTTTTGTTGAGCTTTACATTTTAATCCAGTGCACAGGATGCACAGTGCAGCACAGAATGAACTAACATTCTCACTCTTCTGCCCATTGAGGAAATTTATCATTCTAAGCGGAAGGCACAGGTGGCCCAGATGAACCCAAACGATGCCGACTCCAAAACCTGCCCTCGGGGCTCGGGCCGACCCCCGTCACTGGGAACTCACACCGGAATTTTCCGTGGATTTCACTTGCTTGCACTGGAAGGCAACATTTGTCATGAAGCAAGAGAGAAAGCAGCAGTGGGTTTTTGAGAAACTTTGTTTTCAAGGAATGTAGGCCTCCCCATCAAGGTCAGTGTTTGCTGCTCCTACCCTAAGTGCCCTTGAATTGAGTGATTTACTGGGCCATTTCAGAGGACAGTATGAGCCAACCACATCGCAGCGAGCCTGGAGTCACATACGGGCCAGATCAGGTAAGGGTGGGGAATTTCCAACCCCAAAACGCGATGAGCAAACGAAATGGCTTTTTACAACAATTGATAGTTCCTTGGCCATTATTGAACCATAGTCACACCAAAGCTCTGTTGGGGACCTTGGGCCTTGGGCTGCGATGTTAGCTCGGGTGAGTGTGCTTGCTCAGCAAGAAGATTTCACACCATCACCCGCCTGAAGACCAGGCAATTTTATCTTCGAAACTTTTATCTGATCAGGATGGGAAACAGATGGTCTCCTCACTTCTTTTCTGAAATTCTGTGAAGGTCCCTTTAAAGGCCGAATTAAAGGATCCTTTTAAAGCAATGCTACGTTTCCTGAAGCGCGGCTTCTTTTCCTAAAAATTTGGACCCAATTCCAGTTGAACCGATGGTCATCAGCTAGGCTCACACATTCCTGAATGTCGTCATGGAGGACAGCTCCGCGGCTCTCAGTTAGAACCGGAGAACCGGGGAGGCTGATGGTGGGAGGGAATGTTCTCGATGGGGCAGGTTAAAGTGGTCCCCTTATGGTCTGAAGGGACAACTCCATCTCCACCTTGACCTACAAGAAAAGTTTAAATTCTTTCTTCTTGAGTCCATTTGCTTCTTCTCACCAGATTGACTTGATAGGTGAAGCCAGAATGGCTGCCCTCTAAATCAGGCCTTTAAGGAAACTCCAAGCCCGTCCATTATATTCGTTAAAAAAAATTTGGATAAGTACGTGAATTAAAAACAGGTTTGGAGGGATATGGGCCAAATGCAGCCACGTGGGATGAGTTTAGTTTGGGATTATGGTCGGCATGGGCTGGTTGGACCGAAGGGTCTGTTTCCATGTTGTATGACTCTATGACTCAATGACCCCAAGATATGTGCTGAAACTCCGGTTAAAATCAGACTCTAAGGAAACCGGCCTTGCAAACAGGATTAAAATTGCCTCTAATCGGACATTAGATCAGGTAGCACAGACTGGGAGGGGAGAAAAAATTGGCAAGCAACAAAAGAAGAGATTTTTGCAGGGCATAAACAAAAAATAACTCACATTAGACCTTTCATTCTAAACATGAGATCTTTGTTTCAGAGAACACAAAGCTCAAATGATTTACTGAGTGTACAGTAATAAATTTTGTTGTCCTCCCACAGGAAATTATGTACCGACTGCACAAGTTTGGACAAGAAAGTTGTGATTGAAATAATACTGATATAAGGTATTAGCCATAAAATGCCAGCATTTAGACTGCTCCATAACTTTTGGCAAAGTTGTTCTCTTGTCAGAAGTGTCAAATCTATATTTACAGCATAAAAGACTGTGTGGCGTGCCATGTAACTGCGAGCATTTTTAACCTTGTTTGTAAATTTTGTCAGCTATAAAATACTGATGCTGCCCTTTTATACCCATAAAGTAACAGATGCCAATAACAACCAAACTCAAACAAAACCTCGATCAAGAATATCGGCTCCCTGGGGAGGTTGTTAGAGAGCGTATGGATGATCCCGTGAACCGTGAGAGTGAAAAATGGTTCGTTTTCTGACTGGTAGTGGCGCTTAAAGTTGAGATTTTGCAATATTTGACTCCCACTTTGATAACTTTCAATATAGTCCCATGGTTATGAATTTACTTGGATTTACACAGGTAAAACAAGGTTTCCGACATATGTCCAGCAGAGTGGGAGCAGCTCCAAGGACATTTCCAGTCATTAAACTTTGCTGTTTGGGCTCATAGCTTCTATTACCATTATTGACACCTTACCATTCTTCAAGGTTCTGTGCATTCTCACCAACTGAAAGCAGAATGGGATGCTGCAGGAAAATGGGATGCACACAGCAAGATCCCACAAACATCAATCTTTTAATGATTTTCTAAAGATGTTCTTGGATGGATAAACATCGGCTCCTTACCTTCAGAAAACAGCAACTTATATTTAAAATCTAAACAACTTATATTTAAATTGTGCCTTTAACATAATAAAGCATCTCAAGGCATTTCACATGTGTATTATAAAGTGAACTATGGAAATGCCAGTTAAAGAAACACAGAGAAGCAATCTACATTTGTCTGCAAATTTAGGGAACAATTTGGTAATTTAAATCCGTGAAGATCATTTTTTTGATTCACTCAGGGGACTTGGGTGCTGCTGGCTGGGCCCAGCATTTATTGCCTGTCCCTGGTTGCCCCTTGAGAAGGCGGGTGTGAGCTGCCTTCTTGAACCGCTGCAGCCCATGTGTTGTAGGTCGATCCACAATGCCCTTAGGGAGGGAATTCCAGGATTTTGACCCTGTGACTGTGAAGGAACAGCGATACGTTTCCAAGTCAGGAAGGTGAGTGGCTCGGATGGGAACTTGCAGGGGATGGTGTTCCCATGTATCTAAAAATGGCTTGAAAGGTTTAAAGCCGTGTAATAGCGGTCATGTTGTTGAACTGTACATCATTGTCACTGCAAACTCTGCATGAACAATACATTCAACATAAAAACTAAGCATCCAAGTGGTCGGTGAACGTGAATGCACAAAGTGCAAGCATTGAATGTTCAGGCAACACAAAATGGGGGAGGCAATGGCCTAGTGGGATAATTGTAAGACTACTAATCCATTAACCTGTTAATATTCTAGGAACTTGGGTTCAAATCCCAACTCAGCAGACTGTGGAATTTGAATTCAATGAAAATCTGGACTTAGGAGCCTAATGAAGACTATGAAACCATTGTCGCTTTTCCGAAAAACCCAGCTGGTTCACTAATGCTCTTTAGGGAAGGAAAATGCTGTCTTTTCTCTACGGGGCCTGACTCCAGACCCAGAGCGAGTGGTTGATTCTTAACTACCCTTTGAAATGCCCCAACAAGCCACATTGTTGTAACAACTGCTAGAAAGGGGAAAAAAGAATGAAAGTGACCTGGCAACGATGTAGGTACTGAAGATGACAATGTCAAAAACAGCCAAGCCAATCACCATCCTGACTTGGAAATACATCAGTATTCCTTCAGTGTCGTTGGGTCAAAATCCTAGAATTCCCTCCCTAACAGCATTGTGAATCTACCTATAGAACACAGACTGCAGCGGTTCAAGAAGGCATCTCACCACCACCTTCTTGAGGGGCAACTAGGAATGGGCAAGAAATCCTGAAGAAGGATTGAATCTGGCACTTGATGTAATTTTGAAAATAATTGGAGCTGTATTGTGAGTTGAAAGGAACCTGGAACTAGTAGAAGTCTTGGACATTTTATTCATGAAGCAACTGGAAGAGACTATTGATTAGTATAAAACTGAGCTGGGCTTGTCGTAAAACTTGTGGCTTTGCTTATTTAGTTGTAAGGGCCAGGATGGCTTGTAAGATACCACAAAACTGTTTAAAGGAGATACAGCCTGCAATGAGTAATTGTTAAAATGTAGCCAGCTCAAGAATTGGTGACATCAGTTCATTAAAGAAAAACATTTTCTAGAGCATTTTCTTTGTCAGTTCTTTTGTCCTCTGCCATTTTTCTTGTCCTTACTGGTCAGCAGCAAGAACTTGCCATGCATTGACTCCAATCCTGGTCCACACGAGAGACCTGGTAATTTGTGCCAATAGCTAGTTTGCCACAGAGCATGTCTTTAGGAATGTGGTTGGCAACTATTTGGTGACCCAGCCATCGGAGTCATTGCCCACTCAAGCAGGAAAACATACTGGGGGACTCTGCACACTTGTCCCACTTCCATATTCACCACTCTGTCTTCCCTGGAGATGCCCATTATTTGTCTGAGCCAGCAGAGCTGGAAGCTACATCTCTTGTCTTCCTCAAGCTGTCAATGGCTTGGTATGTTAACAAAGGAACAAGAGTAGGCCATTCAGTCCTCAAGATGGTTCCACCATTCAATGAGATCATGGCTGGTTTGTTATCTAACTCCATAAACCTGCCTTTGGTCCAAATCCCTTAATACCTTTGCTTAACAAAATATTATCTATTATCTGTGTAAGAGTGTTCCTAACATCTACCACCCTTTGTGTGTAGAAGTGCCATCCAACATCTCTCCTGAATGATCTGGCCCCAATTCTCAGACTATGCCCCTACTTATAAAGGAGGGAATTGAGACCCAAGCCTGGTCCATGTGGAGCTGTGTGCTTTTGATTAGTTTGCTATTGACGCATAGCCGCTCTCTCATGGTTGACACAATAGACGTGGCCTTGGCGACCGCAGTGCTAACTTTAAGAAATAAAGGGGCAGGTAATCATTGACTTAAGGAGCATGAAGCTGCTGACAATCTCAGGTTGTTGATGTTGCTGGAAGATAAAACATCCACATCCCGTCCCACAACAGTAGGAGAAAATAGACAAACAAAAACTTAAATTAGAAACAGCAAAGGAAAATTAGTCTGGTAGCATTCCCATGGAGCAAAAGGATGAACTCTGTGTATGGTGTGTGATGCAGCGGAGGTCCCTACTGACATCCCTGTAGAAAATGTCCTACAAGACGGTCCAAATCACAGAATAAACAAAATCGAATGCCTGCTAGGGAGTTTGGAGAATGGATATTCCATCAACAGCCCTCAGGAGCTACTATCTGCAACTCCATTGGGAGAATTGAAGTGTTTAGTGGATGATTGAGCTGAAAATCAGGTGAATTCTGCGACCTACATGTAACCCATTTCTGCCAGAGGATGCTACTGTTTAATAACCTTCAATAAAAAATAATCCATGTCCCCTGCTTTGCTTTCTGTCCTTTCATCAAATTACCTCAATGCTGTCTCTAACACAGCACAGAAGGGCACACAGCAAGTGGGCACGATGGATCAGTGGTTAGCACTGCTGTCTCACAGCACCAGGGACCTGGGTTTGATCCCACCCTCGGGTGACTGTCTGAGTGAAGCTTACACATTCTCTTCATGTCTTGTGGGTTTCCTCCGGGTGCTGTGATTTCCTCCCACAGTCCAACAAGGCACAGGTTAGGGTGGATTAGCCATGCTAAATTGTCCCATAGTGTCCAGGGATATGCAGGCTGGATGGGTTAGCCATGGGAAATGTAGGGTTATGAGTATAGGGTGGTGGGATGAGTCTAGTTGGGATGCTGTTCAGAGGGTTGGTGTGGGATATATGGACCAAATGGCCTGTTTCCACACAGTAGGGATTCTGTGAGTCAGAATAAAAAATAAACTCTTGCTTAGCTTCAATGTTATCAATTGTGAATAGTGTGTAGGTCATATATACATACAGCAGTAGCTGTTAACACTGTCTCCCCAGTCAGTTGACAAGATCTGCTTTGTATCACTCAGAATTGGCACCAGGTGATAAAAATGATCCATCCATACACCTTAATATGCTGAGCAAGCTTTCCATGTGTCATCTTATTCTGTGACTTTTGAAAATCCATGGGCACAACATCCATGAAATTCCTTTCTTCGACAATTATCATGTCTTCAAAAAGTTCTATGACCCTCAGTACACATGATAAACTTTTTGCCAATCCACACTACCTGTCCTCTACTTAAGTATTTTCCTTCCAGCTGATTCAGTTACCACAAGAGTAGTGATATTCAAACCCTTTGAAATGTTTTGCGTGAGTTTTTCAAGCAGGGCTTTAGGGTTCAACTTTAGCTCCTGGTAATTTTATTTTATTCATCCACAGGATGAGGGCATTACTGGCCAGGCAGCATTTATTACCCATCCCTAATTGCCCAGAGGGCAGTTAAGTCAACCACATTGCTGTGGGTCTGGAGTCACATGTAGGCCAGACCAGGTAAGGATGGCAGTTTCCTTCCCTAAAGGACATTAGTGAACCAGTTGGGTTTTTCCAATAATCGACAATGGATTCATGGTCATCATTAGACTCTTACTTCCAGATATTTTTAATTGAATTCAGATTCCACCATCTGCCATGGCAGGATTCAAACCCGGGTCCCCAGAACATTACCTGGCTCTCGGGGTTAATAGTCTGCTGACAATACCATCAGGCCATTGCTACCCCAAGTGTAATAGTGAAATGGACATCATTAAATGCCCTGCCAATCTTTGTGCCTCTCTTGGGTTTAATAGGAAGGAAGATTAGATATGATGGAAGTTAGGTAGCTCATTTGATCGGATTGTATTGACTGTACTGTACAGGCAGTCTTCGACTAGCACAGTTTGGATTAAAGCGGTTTTGCCATAGCACGATTTTTACCGTCCTACATATCAAGTTTCTTAGCTGACTCCCAGCAGCATGGAGGAATAAGCGTGTGGCCAATCTCAACATTCCCAGACAAGTTCCAGCTTGTTAGGTACATTTAGCCATTGCTTACCTGGTTCGAGGTTGGATAAGTTTTGAAAAACCAAGAACACTCAAGCCTCCAACTCCAGAGCAGCAGAAGAGCAGTCTGATGACCCTCAAGCTTTATCTTCCAGGCTACAGACGAGCCTCCCACCTCCAGATAAGCAGCCTTACTTACGTGGCAACAAAATTAAAAAATAATGTTCTTACATGTTCTCACGTTCATTTTAGTGTCTCTTATTAACTTTGCTTTTGAATTCTGTACTTGTTTAGCATGCTGCAAATGTAATTCAAAAGTTTACATCGGTTTCTGCAGGAATATGGGTTTTGAATAATGCAGTTTCACTTAGCGTGGTGATTTTCAGTTACTCCTTTGATTGAGGAGTACCTATATCTCAGTACATACTGGAAAAATGCAGCTATCAGGCCAGATTGGAATGGTTTAGACTGTATTCGAGGAGGCTGAGGGGAGATTTGACGGAGCTGTACAAATTTATGAAGATAGAGTGGATGGGTACATGAGGAGAGAGGTCAGTGACTGGGGCAGGGTCAGGCGTGCATAGACTTAAGAAGTAATGGATAGAAGGGTAGTGTCCGAAAGAGCAGTAGATGCAGAAACCCTCATGGAGAATCTGCATTCATGAAATTCAGCCAGCCAGTTAAATCCAATTGAAAGTGATGTTTATTATTCACTCATGGACTTAGGTGTCACTGGGAGAAAGCGGTGGTGAGCTGCCTTCATGAACTGCTGCAATCCACGTACTGATTCTGTATTAATAAACGCTACGACCTGGGAAGCTAATCACTCAATCTTTTCTGAAGAAGGGTCCCGACCCTGCTCCTCTGATGCTGCCTGGCCTGATGTGTTCCTCCAGCTCCATGCTGTGTTATCTTACACTCAACCTTTGTATTTTTTTTTAAATTGACCACTTTCCTCTCACTTAATCCCTTCCTTTCTCTCATTCCAGGAGAATACAGACCATAGGTAAGGCAGATAAAAGCATCTCGGCTGGTGCAGTGTTAACTTTCAGCTCTTCACCCCCTATAAGGAGTGAACCCTGACTGACCGTGCCCACACCCCTGGTTTGATATTGCATAGTGCCCTTAACTGACTGTACCAGGACACCCCATTCCCCTGACTGTCAGAAGACACCCCCCAGGACTTGACGGAGGGGATTGCACCCCTTTGAATTTAAGACATGGGCATTTGGTTGATGCAGTGTGTTTGCTATGCAGGTGGCGGATGGTTGCTTTAGGTGTGACATTGAAATAGGACGGTGCTGCACAGCGACTCGAATTGCTGATGGTTGGCAGCCATGGCAAGCTCCCTGGCTTTCTGTCTGCACTGAAGTTCTTTCAGGCTTTCAGGCTCAGGGGTTAAAGACAAAGAAAAAGACAAGGCAAGGCAGAGATACTGTGAGCATTCAGGCTGGCGTAAAATG